ACAAGTAATACATACAATATTAATACATAAGTATATAATTTTAAAAGAAAGAATATACCGTAATTGTGTAACTAATATTATTTGTTAATTGTATCGACGTAATATTATTGGTTTTGTATATTTAATAAATATTTACGGTATATTTTACAAAGATTTTTATATAATACATCACGTTTACATATCATACATATTTTACTTGTTCATATTGTCGTGTAATTCTTTATTAATTATTACAATTAAATTTAAACATAATATAATATAAAATATATATCTTCACTAACACTATCACTGTGTATGTACATTAATATTGTACGCAGATATCACATCTTGATACCAGACACAAGCCTATACATGGTGATTTTAAATATGTGCTTATATGAGAAAAAGAGAAAGAGAAATAGAAAAAGAGAAATAGAGAGAAAAGTAAACAATTTCAGTAAGACAAACCAAAATTTCAAAATTCTTTGAAGCTGCGCCTCTCAAAGTAGTCTAAAATCCAGTGCATCTGTATAGAGCATATAACATTGCTAATAAATTTATTATTCATAATCTATGAATTAAATATATAAATTGAGTTAAAAATATTAAAATATTTAAATAAGTTACATATATAAAAATACTCAAATAATAATTGAATTATTTCTTGAAAATTTTAGTTTCTTCTAAAAATAGTTTAAACAAAATGAACACTTTATTTCGTTGTATTTATTATATTTAATATATGAAGAAAATTTATAAGCAATGTATATATGCATAGATTTCTTCAATACATACCGGATAACACAGTGTTTGTGCACAAGCTACGGAATTGTATTCTATTAGTAATTACCCACTGAAATTAACCATACCTTTGATTGGTGTTCTTTTCGTTGGTAGTCCAGGATAATAGGGCACTTCTTTTTCTGTTCCCTCTCCATTCTGCTCATGCCATGGCATATCAACTATCTTGCGTTCCTGTAGCATGAAACATTATTTCAATAATAATTCTTAATATTTATTGTAAAAAGTTTGGTACTTTTTGGTAGGTATTGATTTGATGCATCAATCAGACTATGTACCAAGTACCTGCATATATAGCTCATTAGTGTAATAAAGCATCCACTTATAAATATTTTTTGACTTATAAAGATATACTCCTAACCGAATCCATTTGTTCTCTTGTAACTCAAATCAATAATTGCATATATTCTGGTTCCTGTTTTAGTAACTGATAAATATTATTTGTCAAAGTGAATTTTTACATAGAAATTTTCTAAGTCTACTTGTAAACGATAAATTATACAACAATGAAAGATCAAAATATAATATTGTCACTTACTAAGCAAACTTCTTTGTGCTCATTGCTATGCAGATGATTCAAATATTCCTTAGCCGTTTTAGGGAATATATCACAAACTTTGCACCAATGCATTTCTGGATCGTAATGTACGAAATTGTACATGGGTTTAGAATCTTCGGGAGATCGTCTTTCTCTACCATCTCTATCAGCTTTGCATTCTTTATCGGAATCCGTAGCTGATGATCTGTCAGGTGAATCAGACTTTCCTGTAGGGAAGTCTTCTTTTGGACTTTTTGAACGTTTATTCACTTCCAATTTAAACTTGCTTTTTAAATCATCTACCGTGACTTTATCGCCAATGATTCCAGTGAGCATATCAATTACATTATGTATTGACTTCATTTTGTTTTGTATTTCAATCTAAAAATAAAAAAGACCGTATAGAATAAATATGAATATCATACTTAAAAAATTCTTTTATATAACTAATTAGAAACAATCGCATAGTATCATTTGGAATATATATATATACTTAGTAGTTTACCTGAAGTTTTTGATTTTCTTTAATTATGCGATTGTTTTCTCTTCCACCTTCTTTACCAATTTCATCACATTGTTGTCGTAAAATTTCCAGCTCACGTTGTAACGTAGCAGATTTCTTGACATATTCTTCACGCTGCTTTCCTAATGTTGCTTTTTGTTGTTTCACTTCAGCTGCGATGGCTGTCATACGATTAATTTTAAAGTACAGATATATTATAAAATACATTAATAAAGATATTTCGGATTACTTAAAATAATTTATCGTAACATGATAACAAATATAAAAAGAAAGTCATGTTAAAATTAAATCCCGTTCTTTTAACTAAAGATTTTTAAATAAATATTTAAAAGTTCTTGTATATTTGTTTTAATTGGTACATTATTATCTAAAATAATACCTTCTTTTTTAGCATCTTCAGGTCTTGACAAAGATGTCACTAAACCAGAAGACCCACTATCCACAGCTCGTGATGATTCTTGTGCAGTTAGTGTAGGTGGTGGTGGTGGTTGTTGGCTGTTATATGGTACCTGATTTCCTTGCCAATTTGGTGGAGGATAATCCTAACAGAATGAATATTTTCATTCAATTTTAAATACATGAATGGTGCTTCTTTTAACCCTTACCTTTACTTGTCCATATTCAAATCAGAACTTTGGATAATACATGGAAGATTCTTGAAGATGAATCATCTGGTCAATTATAGTAGTTTCCTTTTTGTTAACCAATAAAATAAATAACGCGAATGTTATACTTACTGACGGAGCTGCTGAGTTTGTAGTATAAACGAAGAAAAATGGTGTTTCTGTTTATTTTTCTTTTTTTTTCTTTTTTTGTTTCTTTGCGTTTTTTTTTTAAATGACACTAACTTTCCAAATCGCGTAAATAATGTAATGATTCACATGTATATATATATACATATATATATATATATATATACATATACATATATATACATATATAAAGTAATACCATTGATTGCACATGGGCTTCAGAAAACCCATACACTTTAAACATCTTGATATAGAATTTATTTATATCAGATTATTAAAATAAAATATCATACTATTCTATTAAAAAATTTAAACATAAAGAAGTCACACAATCATTCAACATTGCCAATCATAAATCATACATCTATTTTTTAAAGTGCAATCATTCGTATACTAAATTAAAATAATATTCTTTGTTAATAAACTTACACTGCGATAACTAGTTGGTTGTTGATAGCTGTAATCGTACCCTTGTCCATAGTTATAGTTATAGTTGTTGTATCCTTGATTATATGCAGGTAAAGGTGGTGGTGGTTGACTCGTATTCGGTGGTGGAGGAGCCTAAAATGAAAATAGATGAATAATGTGATTTGAAATGAATATAACTAGTTAACATATTTTTAAAAATTATTTATTAATATTAATCTTTTGTACTATGATTTAATGAGTGAAGCTAAGAGCCATATTTAGTACTATATTTTATACTTATTATATTTGGTCTGTAAAGCAAGTCTCACATGTTGTTATAGTGCGAAGGGTTAGCTATGAGAGATTATGTTATGAAAAACTTAATTTAACATTAACAAATATTATAAAAAATCTATTTTACCTGATATTGATTATGGACAGCGGAAACATAACCACTAGAACTAGCAGAAGGAGCTGCTCCTTGAGACTGCGACGCAGTTTGTTTCCAGTCTTGTTGAGATCGATTACTTTCTTTTCTTCTTCTATCTCGAGAACTTGAACGCGACCTTCTATCTCTCGATCTTGATCGTCTATATCTGGATCGTCTAGGAGATGGAGATCTATCATATTTTCTAGATCTTCTTCTATGCGATGAATCATCTGAATCGGCACTTGGACTCCTAGGACCTTTGCGCCTAGACTCTTGCTCCATCTTCTATTTGTCTTGGTTAATGAAGGATCTTTCTTTAAAAAATTTGACAAAAATAAGTCTCCATAATTTTAATTACTAAAGAAAAAAGAAAAAACCATATATAATAAATAATAATTAAAGAAAAAATTTATAACCAAAGGTTATAATTAGAGAATATCAAATATACTTAGTTAAAGTATAAATAAATTAAATTAATCAATTTCATTTAATAACACAATTACTAAAATTTCGGTTTTTTTTTTTGTTATACATTGGGTCACATTTTATTAGCTTGCCATGAGGTAATCCGTATTTCTAATTTATTAGATATAATGCAATCTATTGGTATATTATAAATAATTATAAATGTAACCAAAAGATTCGTTGAAGGATTACGAACGATATTTCTAAATATCTCATTAAATTAAAGAATCCATTGTAATTCATTTAAAGAAATCGGAATACTTTTTAGATACTGCAATGCAGCCATTATCATTTCAACGTTTTAATACACGCCGTATGTTATCATATTTATATTACATCTTTAATTAAAATTAATTTACCTGTAATATATAAAACCGCTATTTTTCTTCAATTTTATATTTTGTAATCATTTGCTATCACAAGAAAATAATGTCAAAAATGCTTGGTCAGAAAACACATCACGACTTTCCAAGTGAATAGATGAAGCTAAAGTATAATGGCGACTTTTAAGTATTGCCAACTGTAAATATTAAATCATCATTAACAATTTCAAACTTCAATGTGTAGTTCTTTTTTTTAAGTATATTTTTATTCGACACAAACAATTAGATGTACGAATTAAAAATATATTTATAAATATTATTAATAATAATATTTTAAATCTGATTACAATTTGGAACTATTCGATGAATATAAAATTTACTATAAATCATTATCATTGTGATTGCTCTCACTTTGTACCACTGTAATCAAAGTAAATATTTTAATGTTATTAATATTTATTATTCAATATTCCATTTAAATGGTTACTATTTCTACTTCAGAAAATGCATTCTTATTTATTACTATTATTCAATTTATAATAATATTTTTTTATTATTAAAAAAGAATTTGTAAAAATCAGTAAACTGTTAAAGAATATATATATATATATATATATTGTTATTCATATAAAGATAAAAGAATAAATATTGTAATTTATTTACAATCTTTTGTTTATTTTTTACTATTATACTTGCAACATTTTTCTCTTTTTATTTTTTTTTTCCTCTTCGCTTTTTCTACCTTTTCTAATTAAATTTTTTAAAAGGTAGTTTAGCCGATGGGTGATATAATATTTTGCATTAGTATCACAAAATGTACCCCCTATTTGATCTTGGAAGGAATTTTGGAAACACCCTGTATATCAATGAAGTAACATGGCGACTGACGAAAATAGTAATTTAGAGGAAGTTTTGGAATATAAGATTTTTAAGTACTCCAGTTATACAGCTTCTTACGTACCTGAGTACGTAAACACATATTTTATTTTTAACTATTTAAATACATTTATTTATTTACTTAATTCGTTTGCGATTAATTAACGAGGATGATATGGCGACCGTTTAACCTAACAAATTTATTCGTTTTATTTCAAAATATATTTTGCAAAATAATGATGCGTCGATTGAAATTATTCAAATAAATCGTAACGAGCTCATATTTAATATCTTTTTCTTTCTTTTTGTTTTTCTTTCAAGGAATATTCTTGTAGATAAACCGTCAGATCAAACTTCACGTTGGTCTTCTGACAATGACCATCCTAATCAGGTAAATATTTCCAAACATTTTGTTAGCAAAATGATTGAAAACCTTATTAATCTTCGTGTATAATTATATCAAACGTAAACAAGTAGATATCATGAAACAATTACTTATAATAATTCATATATGTTTCATTATTTAATTATAAATACAATGAATGATAATAATTGCTATCATCTTATTATTGTAATATTTTAGTTTCTTACACTGAAATTACAACGTCCTGCCATTGTTAAAAAAATTACTTTTGGCAAATATGAAAAAACTCATGTATGCAATATAAAAAAATTTAAAGTGCATGGTGGATTGGAGCCCGACTATATGATGGAACTTTTAGTAAGGTAAAATATTATTTCATGCAGAATAATTAACCGTTTGAATTCTGGGGTCTTTAAAAAAATCGTGTTTACGAACGTCAAATGGGGCGACAACATATGTTGCGTTTCAATAACATGACACTTTTCGTTTAGAAAATATAATAGCACGATCATGTTACAAGGATTTCAAACAGTTAAGAAGTTTTAGAAATGATTTATTTTCATTTTTTTTTAAACTTGTTTTATACTTTTTCAACTTATTTTTCAGTGGATTAAACAATGACAGTACAGCCCAAACGTTGGAATTAAAACACGTATTAGGTCACGAAGGAAAATTGTTTCCCTGTAGATATATCAAAATTATTCCTGTACATTCTTGGGGACCCAATTTTAATTTTTCCATTTGGTTTGTACGCTTGCATGGTATCACTGACCCTAAAATTGTACAAACTGCTATTAGCTGGGTTGATATTGTAAGTACTTGAATAAACATTAATTATTTTTTAATATAAATCAAAGATCAACTAAATTTAATTTGTTTATATATATATATATATATTACAGTATCGTCAAAGAGAAGTAATAAGGCTATGTATGAAACATTTTCGAAAATTCGAACAACCAGAAATTGTTCACACTTTGCAAAGAATCACAGGCGTTACTTTGGAAGATCCTCGGTTATCTATGCTGTATGATTTGTTAGTTACCAAAGGTGATCATCTTCAGGCAGAAGGTTTTATAAGCAACGCAGTCATGTGTAAGCTAGTTTCTAAATATGTTCTTTTTACACACTACACAATATACATAACTTATTTCTTCTTTAATAAAAATACTTTTCTGAATATTCTGCAAAAAAAATCCAATTACTAATAAAATTTTAGTTATTCTTTTATTTTTAATAAAAGAGTTCTATACATTTATTGATATTTTGATAATTTATGTTTTATTACTTTCCCTTTCGTAAAAAAACTTCAGATTATTGTCATTTTTTTATCTTTACGCAAACAAATTTCATAAATTATTCTATAGCTGGACTACTGAATGACTATATCAATGCTCAGACCTATAGAGCGGTTTGGAAAAAATTATCTACGGGTGAGCCTAGACCTGGAATGAGAGGAGGACATCAAATGATTCTGGATCCAACTGCTGAAATGTTGTATCTATTTGGTGGATGGGATGGAAATCAAGATCTTTCAGATTTATGGGTTTATGATATAACTGCTAATCAATGGATCCTCCTATGCAAAGATACTGAATCAGTAGTAAGTCCTCAAATTCAAGGTGATATACTTAATAAGAAAGGTTTTTGATCATTTTTTTATTGTTCAAACATCCAAATTAATACAATGTATTATAATACAGGGTGGACCTAGTGCTCGATCATGTCATAAAATGATTCTTGATCCAGAAAGACGACAAATCTTTTTACTCGGACGATATTTGGATACACAATATAGAACACCAGAAAACCTTAAAAGTGATTTTTATGTTTATGATATTGAATCAAATAAGTGGACTCAAATATCAGAAGATACTGGTGTTGATGGCGGGCCTCAACTAATATTTGATCATCAAATGTCAATAGATACTGAAAAACGAATAATTTACGTATTTGGCGGTAGAATTCTTGTTTCATCTAACACGTAAGTTATTATATATAACTTTTAGTAATTATTAAAAAATGTTATTTATTTATAATAGGTTAATATTTAATTACTATTTAGTTCTGAAAATCATGCAATGTTAGCTAATTCAACGGAACAAATATTTTCTGGTTTATATTCTTATCATGTGCCGACTGGTACTTGGAATCGACTCGCTTGTGATATCGCAAGACAGGGTCCTTCAGAAATACCAACTATTAGGTCACGAGCTGGTCATTCTATGTTGTTTCATTCAGTAAGAATTCTTAATATTATCAATTATTATATAAATAGTGGAAAAAATATATTATAAAATTGAAATTCACTTCTTTTATTATTATTTTTTCAGGGTGAACGAAAGTTGTATATATTTGCAGGAAAACGAAGTAAAGAATATTTAAGAGACTTTTTTACTTACGACGTAGATACAAATAAAATAAACTACATAAATTACAATGACGTTGGTGGGAGAGATAGTGATCGTCTTCCGGCAGCTGGCTTTACTCAAAGGTCAACAATTGATCGAGATCTTAATGAAATATATGTTTTGTCGGTTTGTACTTAAAAATTTCTATTTTCTTTTATATATATTTATATGTATATATATGTTACAATGGTACATTATATATTAAAAAGATTTTATATAGGGTTTAAGTAAAGACAAAGATGAGAGAGATGATAATGTACAGAATTCTTTTTGGGTATATACTATTAAAAATAACACATGGTGCTGTATTTATCGTAATGACAATTTTGGTGAAAAATATTGGACTAAAATGCAAGATTTTGAACCATGTCCAAGATTTGCGCACCAGTTAGTTTACGATGAAATCAAAAAGGTATATATAAAATTTGTTTTCAATTTATACGAAATGTTACGTATATTTTTACAAAAATATATTTATCTTCATATTCGATAGGTTCATTATTTATTTGGCGGAAACCCAGGACGATCTTACATTCCAAATTTACGACTAGATGATTTTTGGCAATTACAATTATGTAGACCGTCTCACGAGCAAGTATTACAAAAATGTAAATTAATCATTAGAAAACATAAATTCGAAGAACTTGCTTTAAATAATAGTGTTGAAGCATTGGAATATTTACAAACTAAGGTGTCCGAAATTATTGATCATAATGATAAAGAGCAAGAGAAAGAGGTATTAGAAAATTTCTTGTTTATACATATTTACCATTTATATTGAATTTATATAAGCGTATAAAGTTTTTTTTTTTATCAATGTATCAAATGTATCAACGTATTCATATATTTATTCAAATTTAACAGTTTCAGTTATTGACGTCCATACTATTTCGCGAGCAAACAAACTTAGTGGATGAAACTGCAGACCCAACTTCTTCTACTGTTTCAAGTAACTTTATCGATATAAATACAGATCAATATGTTAAAATAGGCAAAGTTCATGCTTTGAGAATAGAGCTATACGACAAACTTGCAGAATTTTTTCCCGATTCACTTGCACAACCGCGTGTTAACCTTATCGATCTTGTGTCATTATGATGCAATAAATATTAAAAAAAGGAAACATCAAGTACGTTAACATTGACTATAATATATCCAGTATAAATTGTTAAATGATATAAAGCAAAATCAGTTATTTTTTTTCTCTCTTTTTCTACAAGGTTATTTGTTGTAATATTTACCATTATTTCACATATAAAACCGCAATTTGTACTGCACTTTTTTTACAAATTTCAATAGAGGTATAGGTTAGAATTAATTAGAAAAGTGATATTTGCATTAATTTCTTCTCGAATTAAATTTAAACATGATAAATTTAAATTTTTTGATGATATTCTAAGGCAAATATAAGGAACAGCATTAACCCATTTGCATTCACAAGTGTTTTCTGAGCGGTAGATAAAATAATTTAGAATTATTAGTGCGTCATTGGCAAATTTTACGTTTTTTAAACCTTTGTGAATGGAGCAGTAAAATAGTCAGCTTATTTTTTTCGTATACTGCTTGTTGTAATGATATACCAATCAATTGTTTATTAGATATTTATTCAATAGATACAGATGTTACTATTATTCTTATTTTATGTTGTTAAATAATATACAAATTTTATGTTCATAGAGTATACTTATTTATTAATTATTATTTTGTTATTAGATATTGATTTAATTTTAATTTTGTAGCTAATAATTGCTACTTCTAATTTAAATTAAAAATTTAAACACAATTATATTATATTATTTAAGATTAAATTTGTGTGGTGATACAACAGATAGACTGACTATCGATCGAGTGTCTCTGATTTATGAAATTAATAAATTTATGATGCACATGGGTTAATATTGTATTTTGCTGTTGTAAATTGTTGCTTACATATATAGCAAAAAGAGTAGTCAAATATTGATGATGTATTTTTTACATATTGACATATTTGTCTTAGAAGTAAGGAAACAACAAATTCGAAAACAAATTAATATATATATATATATATATATATATATATATATATATGTTAAAAAGAACAAAAATTAATCTATAATAATAAGTTTTTGCTTTGTATGATTATAAATATTTATTCTTCGTAATATTCCTAATAACATTGTATAAAAATATTTATTTTCAATCTTTCGTGACTTCTTTTTATTACCATCGTTTATTTATTTGATGTTCAAGTTAAATTTACTACAAATACTGTTTCATAAAAGCAGTATAAAATATATATATATATATATATATATTTAAAAAGAGATTCATGTACATTAATACTTGATAGTACACTTTAGCTTATACATCAAAAAATATTGTAATCCTTATTATCTTTATTAAATGAAATATCTTTATACATTGTACTATTAGAATATTATAGAGAAAATAGTAAATAAGACTTTTAAGTTACCTAATTTATATAAAACTTCATGTTTATATTATTTTGTATATATATATATTTTATCTCATGTAAAGAATGCTACACACTAAACTGCTTTGATGTTAATTAATTTGTATAATATATGCTCTCTCATATCTTATAATAACATAATATGTAATATCCTGTATATAAATAGTATACTTTATTAATATTTATTTGCAAAAGTTAAACGTAAGAAGTGATTAAACTAAAAAACAAAACAAAAAACATGCTACAATATTGTAATTATTTGCTATATTAATGAATTATTTCCAACATATAAAGTACATTCAGTTTTTGTATATATATTTCTGCTTATTCTATAAGATGTTAAAAATTTGTGATATGATTAGAAGTAACGAATGATGAAAAAGACATTAAGGAAAAGAAATAGAGCAGTTACAGAATTAATTAGGATTATTCATACGCTATTGGTTTATGTTTGTCTATTATATATAAATATATATACACATATGTCAGTTAATTTATAATATAAGAAATTAATATAATTGTTAATATTTTTTCTCGCTTGCACGCACTCATGTGTATGTACAAAGAAATTTTCTATGAACAAGTGTGAAGTTTGAAGACCTATTATATCTTATTTATTTGTTTAAAGTGTAAAATAATAAAAATTATGCATTTTTCTAATTTACATTAACCTATTTTATTCGGTTTATTTTTCATTAATTATAATATATAATTTTATCAATTATTTATTTATATAAAATAATAATTTAAAATTTAAACCCACGTAAAAGTAGATCCGCAACGATCGCAGTGCTATCTAGTAAGATATTTAGTAAATTAAAGTTTATTATATCACAAAAGTTTTGATAAAGAATTGTTATATAATAAAGTTTATTATATAACAGCTAAAATAAATTAAATTATATTGCTATGATGTCCAAATATATGTATAATTATATATGTTTACATATAATATATTTATACATATAATTTTACTAATAATTGTAGTCTTTTTTACCGACGTTTACAAATTGATAATTAGCTTACTTTCCCGATCGATAATATCAGATGTCGCTGCAAGTAGTAAAACAATCGCTATTCTATCTCACAATATAATATTCGATGAATTAGCCTTTCGAATAGAGTGACAGGCGTTTTTAAGAACTTGTACATTCTATCGAGTCGAGTGATTTAAAAAATAATTTAAAAATGGAATGTTTAATTGGAATTCAATTTAAGGATTTTGTGCTTGTAGCCGCCGATATGACAAATGCTCAATCTATTATGGTTATGAAAAACGGTAAGATAAATTTGATTAAATTACTTTAGACAATTCAAAAGGATTACCAAGAATATTTTTGATTAAACCTAAATTTTTAATTTAAATATTTATTAAATTAAGTTTAACGTTATTTTAGATGAGGTGAAAATTCATAAAATGTCAGACAAACTTGTCATGGCTGTCTCCGGTGAATCTGGCGATACAACTCAGTTTTCAGAATACATTGGAAAAAATATACAACTTTATAAAATGAGAAATGGTTACGAACTATCACCACAAGCGGCAACTGCTTTCACCAGAAGAAATTTGGCGGATTATCTTAGAAGTCAAACACCGTACACCGTTAATTTATTAATGGCTGGATACGATGACGAAACTGGCCCACAGTTATATCTTATAGATTACTTAGCTTCTTGCGTTAAAGTACCATATGCAGCGCATGGTTATGGTGGTTTCTTTTCCCTTTCTATATTAGACAGATATCATAGTTTTGGTAAATAATTATTATGTATTTTATATAATATTAACATTAACTCCTTACACTATGATTAAAGCGTTGACCTGTGTGCCATAATTCTGTGCTATATTTCATGGTTCTCATGTTTAGCCCATAAAGCTTATTACGAGTTACACGCATTGTTGTAGTGTAAGGGATTAATTAATTTTATCAAATTTTATATTTAAAGTAAAATATAATACTTTTCTTTCATTATTTTCAATTATTACAGACATGACTGAAGAAGAAGGATACGAATTGATGAAGAAATGCGTTAGAGAAATTCATAAGAGACTTATCGTGAATTTACCTAATTTTCAAGTTAAAAAAGTATCCAAGGATGGAATAAAAGATATGAAATTTATTACAGCACAAAATTTAGCTGTCGAAGATGCTGTTAAGGTGTGATTAATTAACATTTCATATTTTCATAATATTGTAATTCTGATTATAAAAATAGGGATAATTAAATATAAATCAATTATCTATTACAGAGTAATTATTATTTCACTAGATTTTTACTACTAAAAAAAAAATTACCATCTACTATTGTCAAATTAATAAAATTATGTATAATATTAATATACATATATTTTAAATAATAATGCATTGATTAGATTAGTTTAATATGAAAGGGTATTACATTTCCATGTTTACATTAGTAATATTACAGAAAATAATTACATATATAAATATATATATTAGGTTTAGAAATTAATTCGGTGTCTCTTTAAAACAACTTTATTTGTTTATGAAGTAATCGTTAATACTTTTGGCATCTCTTCTAATTTTTAGAGAGTGATCGAAATTAAAAAAAATTTTATATAACTTGCTTGGATTTGACATTTCTGCATTATTGGTAAAGTGCAAAGAAAGATAAAATTTGAAGGAATCTATGTCTTGTCATTATTTTTTCAAAAAAAAGTGTCCCGACTGATGGATGAGTTGATCACTAAACATGTATTGTGGTTTTTTGCACCTGTGCTATCAAAATATTTAATGCGAAAAATTTTGTCATTTCGGAAAGTAATATTGTACCACTTTGTTGATTTCTTTGCACATTTATATATCTGCGGTTCATCTAATCATAATATCTGTTAGTTTCACTTGCTACCATTTCTATAAAATCATTTTCAATAACTAGTGTCTGACGATTTCACTTATACTTTGAGGATTATTTGGATATACTTTGACACATGAATTACCCGTAAACATTTTTAAGTTTTTTTTTTAATCATATTTTATCCACTGTCTATCTGTTTCGTAGTTACTGTCGTCAGATTCGCTGTCATATATTATCTGTGTTTTATATCTCCGTGTAAATTGCATTAATATGTCACACTGCCTATTATTTCGCTGCTAACTAACAATAAATTCTGAGGATTCTATTTCAGAGAAATTTCATCAGCATACATTTCTTCATTTTTCATTATTAACGGTAAATTATTTGAAAGTTTGTTAAATAGTATATAAAAATCACCTAATATATATTTACTTCAACAGTAACTGTATTTAATTGTTGTTTATGTCACTATTTTTCTGCTTTAACCGTTTGATTAGTGCTAAAAGGTTCTGTCCTGTATCCAAAAGTATCAGTGTTCTATGCTACGAAGTCGATAATTATGCTCAAAAGAATTTCAGAATAAAAATAAATTGAAAGAATTATCGCGGTACATAAATATAAAAAAGCGCATTCGCGCTTTTTGGCATTTTTGAATGCGACATCAGACAAGCGTTATCGCGCCGCTTGGCAATTTACGATTCGGAAACAATAAACCCGTGACAACCAAACGATCGAGACTAATGGTTACATTTTGATTTAACATGCTTCTATACTCCCCCACTTATCTATGAATGGTGGTGTATGACGTAAGTGTTTTACTTCCTGCGTACGACACGGGTCTTTTTATTAAAATTCTCGTAAAGATGAGCCCAACGCCTAAAAGGAAGAAAAAAACGCAATAAAGGTCGCCAACACCGTAGGTCTCGTGTTTCCCTTGATTTTTAACATTGGATTATAAATAGCAGGGCGCGAATTCACGTCAGCTGTAACCAGGAATAGAATTTGAAATGACGTGTAATTTCGCAGTCGCAAAAGTGTTAATATCAAGGAACAAAATTAATTTCTACACATGATATATGATATATCATATATTTTAATTTCAATTTGGTAAAATGAAAATACAGAAGTTTATATAAACGTAAATTGTTTATTTAAAAAAAAAAAAAATATCAATAAATATTTCCAAGATATAAATTCTTCATAAAAATATTTTAATATTCTTTGTCCAAAACTAATTTATGCATTTTCTATGTTTATAATTATTAACAAAATATTGTATAAGACTAATTATGAAAGATTTATAACAAATAAATTCGCAAAAATAATTTCTTTTTTTGTATAACTTAGAAATAGATTGTCTAACGTTTTTAATGTCGTGGCACTTATTATGATTTTAACAAAAATAGAAAATGGGGAAAAAAGGTAATCAAAAACAATAATTAATGTCATTGTATAATGTGGTGAACTTATATAAATTTTTTTCCTTTTTTTTTTTTACTATGTACTATAAAATTGATTTTACAGGGTAGAGAATTATTACTAAATTTTTGTTAAAATCAATACAAGATATACAATTTTAAAGAATCGTTATAAGTCACAATTATAATTTACAAATGTAATTACATATAGGAATAGTTGCACAATAAATGCAAATCCTTGCTATGTACCGAATGATTGATTAATGAAATGATTTTTGTGCCATCACAGCATCCACAACTTGCATATATTGTAAAAATAAATTAAATCAATATGCAAGGTAGATTAAAGAATTATAGAAAAAACATGTCTTTTTTTCTATTTATAATGAATTTGTGAAATAACCAATAGTAACATAACAGAAATGTCATATTACTTATGGTGGTTGGAAAATTTATTTATCTTTTGCTGTTTCTACTTGAGTTTGCGTTGTCTGTTCTGATTGTTGTACTGTATTATTCTTTGGCTGAGCAGGGTGATCTTCATATCTGAAATTTATATTATATATATTACTCTTTCAAATATTTATATTAGTTTTAATTTATGTAATAGACGAAATAAAGGAATAATGCTTACGAAAATAAAGCTTTAAGGTCTCCTTTGACTAATGCTAGTAATAATGGCGTTCCTAGACAAGCAGGTGCCAGATATAACAGAGCAGGTTGTGCGTGTTTAAACAAATGCATTATTAATATTGTTATGAGTAATCCCATGAAGTAAGCAAAAAACGTTGCATAAAAATATACATTTCTTTTTCTGCTCAAACTGTTATCAAACCTCAATAAAAGAGCTATAAAAATTCCGGGTATAACGATATCGCCTAAACCTAACATTGCAAAGTTTTCTGCATTAAGACCTTTTTCTAAAAGATCTTGTGGAAAAACGAGTTTCATTGGCACCTCAAATGATTTCGCTACTGTTACCATTACATCTGTACCAAATACCCAAAAGGCATCATAGAAAAGAAGACCACCAAGTAAAATGCATCCAGTAACAACGTTGTTAAGATGTAATATTTCAACGCCGTTAATTGCAAACGCAATTCCAAATAAGTTATTGGCAATCCAATGCTAGAAGAGATAACAAAAATTATATATAAAATTGAAAATATAAGAAAGAGATTTTTACAAATAAATAATATTTATACAAAATTATATATTTTTTTATAAATTACCTTTTTCCAAAGATACCAAGCGCCAACCATTGAACAACAAATTAAACAAACAATATCGTGAAGGTTAAATTTATAATTAATAATATGCTCGGTATTATCGTTTTCTCCTTTAGTGAATTGAATGTGATACGGAGTTTTTGGAATCACAGCCGGAACCAATGAAGAAATTAAAGAACTACAATTATACAAAATTATATTAAAAAGACATTATATTATTAAAATAAAAATCTATTGTTATTTAAAGAGATATTTTATTTACCTTGTAAGATGACACAAAGATAGGATTCCAAGAAAGAAGAAATAAGTAGCTAGAATTACATTCACGTATTCCTTTGTAAATATCTGGATGGAAACAAATAAAATGTTTTTAAAATAAATGATATTTCATAAAATATCATATTTATCATAAAATAATAATAATAAACTTTCTCTTTTACCTTATATAATATGTATAAGCTAAATAACGTAAAGCTGGAAATTACAGGAAACATTGCTGCTTCCATAAGAGACATTGTGTCCGGTTGTTCACCATTTGCTTTATAATGTTGCTGTAAACAATATTTCATAAATTTTATAATAAAAAGATGTTACGTTTAAAATGGATATAAAGAATTTGTATATATATTCATGTGTGTATGTGGTCGCTCTCTCGTATACAAGATTAGTATATAAATGTCATGCATTACATATTGATAACTATATCTATATATTTAGAAAAAATATATATATATATAAATATGTCTAAATAATATTGTAAATTTTTCAAATATTATTAAACGTTAGAATGATTTTATAACATATGTCAAAATATATAACTAACCTGCTGCTCCTTATGGTGTTTAACAGCTCGAAAGCTACCGAAAAAAATAGGTAATATTGCCATTATTACAAGGCTCCCATAAGCTATGGCTATTCCTTCGGGAGTTGAAGGAGAAGTTCCATTATTTTTTTCCGTAACATTTTCACACGCTTGTGTAATAATTGGATTTATTACACTTGCCATCTTTACTTTTCAACGCAACTCGATTGACACGACTGCACTGTCGTACACGTTTGGAACAAACGTTATCTTACAGATGGCGGATAATGACAAGTCTACCAATATAACAATTACTAAAACAATATTTTCAAAATTTTATTTAAATGTATTATTATTAGGCATTTTATATTATATTATATTATTACAGATAAATGTATAAATTCATTAATATTTAATTAAATATTATATTTCAAAAAAATATTTTAATATTGGTTATGTTACTTTTATATATGTATTTAATTTTATATTAATTTTATTATTGAAATATTTCTTATATAATAAATCATGGAATATATATTTAGTTCGAGTGATTTTTATTTCGTTGGTAATGATTGATATTAGAAAAAAAAGGAAATGTATATATGATTTTTATACATATTTTTTCCTTATAAACCACGGAGGCTAAATAACAGGAGGGCGATCGACATAGGAAATTGTACAGTCAACGCGTCTGAAAAAAAAGGAAAGATCATTTTTGTAAATACGCCGCTAGGCATCGTTATGTTCGCTAATGTCAGGTTTATAACTTTGTGGCGTCTCGCACCAGCGCAGTGCCGACACCTCTCGGCCAACAGCGCCCAGCGGTAGCAGCGCGCGCAGGGAAAGTGCTTACACCTCTCGGCCGCCAGCACTAACATACGCAAGCACCTCGTGACGCGGTTCCGCAGGGGCATCTGATTGGCCTGACCACGCCTTTGATTGGTCAGAGCGGAAGAGTGACCACTGCGACCGTTGCTCTCCCCACTTCCGGATGCCTGGATCGCCGTGGCGGTGCATACGCAGGAAAAATATCTTCACTCTTACTTCGTCCGTCGCACCGTCCGGTCACACTCTTCTCATCGCGCTCTTGTATTTTCTGTGTATAAACATTATTTCCTGTACGTGACCACGTGGCACACCACGCCGATAAATAAAATATCGTCCCACGGGATCAAAAAACATAATCGGAAATTTCTTTCCTCCACACGGAGTCTCATTGGCCCATTCCTTTCTCTGCGGCCCGTTCCTCGCGTCAAGGAGAACGCACCTTAACGCGCCTAGTAACTTAGGGAAAGAAATTCCCAAAACTTCATATTTTTCATTGACAATTGTTGACAATACTGCATCATTAGCAATTGTATTAATGTTTTTTTTAATTTATAAAAAGTAATATTTATTTAAAAATGGTAAATAAATGTATTATTCATGAGTGTACAAGTGGACGAGTCAAGGATCGTAATAAGAATGCTAAATTAAATCAGAGAAATACGTCTTTATTCATTGTACCACAAGTAATATAACCTTAATTTATAATTATTAATTACTAATATAAAAAAATGCAATGATGCAAATGGTAAAAAGTCTAGTCTTGTAAAAAGTACAATTTACGATAATAAATTACAATTTACTTTTAATTGGACTTTTTAAATTTAGTTTTCCATCCTTTACTCAACTGCGACTAGGTAAGATGAAATTGAATAGATTTACACGACAAATTGACGATAATATCTTGGAAATAATTGTAAAATAAAATATTTTTTCTTATTGCTATTTTTAACGTTAATTATAAGATTTGGTTAATTTATTTTGACTGACGCGTGAGTACAATTGTTACATTCCCGCGACAATAGTTTTAAAAACCTGACATTAGCCATACTAACGCGCTCTAGTGGCAAAAGATCTGTCCCCTCATTTCAACATTTGTAATACATTGCGTTCGCCCTCCTGTTATCCAGCGATCCCATTTGTACGATAATTATCGTACGCGTTCGATAATTTGAGGGCCTGTACGATCCAAAATTCGTGGGGTACGATCCATTTGGAATTTCGAAAACTTGATGACCTTTTTTTTTTTTTAGTCAACAAATTTTGGAAAGGTGCACCCCCACCACTACCACCGCCACCCCTATTATCCCAATCACCACTACTACCACCACCCAGTGCTGTCAGATCGTGGGTAAATCTTACCCTCTCCCTGTGCCACTGGGATTGCACACAATGAAAGTTTTCCATGTCCGTGTGTTTGGGAGGTCGAAAGAAATCGAGTGTAACCGAAGTTGGCGGTTGGCCACGGAGTGGCACACTATGAAAGCGACTCGTGTCCATGTGTTCGGACGACACGAGTCGCTTTCATAGTGTGCCACTCCGGCGTGCCCGCCAACTTCGGTTACACTCGGCTTCTTTCGACATCCCAAACACACGGACATGGAAAACTTTCATTGTGTGCAATCCCAGTGGCACAGGGAGAGGGTAAGATTTACCCACGATCTGACAGCACTGC